ACAGACACACATACATTGGCATTCATTTGCAAAGGAGACTATACACTATGGACTGGACCCAATTGATCCAGTGAAAGCAAACAAAATGGACAGGAAAATTACTTTAATGACTATGCAGAACATTTTTGCATTAGTTTGAACAGCTGGCAAACCTAGGGCTACCCACAGACATGAGAAGGTGGTGGGAAGATCTGACCAACACAGGACTACAACAGTCATGACATGCATGCTTGTTTTAACCAAGTTTGCATATTTATTTACTGAGCAGGTGTTCTTAATGCTGGCTTTTGCTCAGGGGAAGAGTAGCAATAGTACATAGATATGAATTTCTAATTATCTATTCCTGAGGGGTTTCTGCAAGGTGTCCACAGATATAGTATTATTTCTGGATCCAACTGTAATCAGTCAGTGATCATCTCATGTCTCTGGGTACTCCTTATGTGAGGACTTCAGTCATTATTTTGGACAACATGATGGTTTTGTCACCAGAGTGGCTTGTCCAGAGTGAGAAGCACTTACATCATATTTCATTGTGAGAAGTTGAATTTCCAGAAATGTAAAAAAGAGAAATGCCTTTCATGCAGTATGTAGAAGCTGCTTATTATATCTAAAAAGCAATGACAATCATAGATGGACTAATCATAGATAAGACAGCTGCCTGTCTAGTGTAAACCAATGAATTTAACACCATTGTCACATGTACATTGCAGAATTGTGTACACATTATCATTTAGCCTGGGCTCCAAAAGGAGGATGTATTCCCTGATGATGTAGATGTGCAAAGCACCACCAGACTTCTAATGCTAAGAATATTCTGGATTGCATTAACAACGGTATGACCAATCCGGTTTAACATTGAGTGTGCTGAACTCAGTTGTTTACTTGGTTTGCACTTACATAAAATTAGTAAAGTCTGAGTGAACTATAGGCAAGGCTTATAACTGTAACTGACTAAAGCTACTAACCGAAAAAGTCCAGTATTTCTTTGTGCCTCAATTTCTCAATAAATACAGTTGTACATGTTGCAATAGGGACTGTTCCCAGGAAAATTGTGATCTGTTAAAGTTTACTATGAGCCAACAAAAACAGTAGCACATGAATGTCCTGATTCTGTAATAATCTGTATGTCTGGATATACAGACTTACAGTTCATATATCCATAAAATAGATATGTAAACCAGGTCCTTGAGGCTGTACCAAGATGTTACACTGTCAACAAAGTCACTTGGAAGAGACTTTGTTGAAGGCTTATTTCTATATCAAAGATATGTTTACCTTCGATACCTTGGTAAATGGCTGATAACAGTGAAGACTACACAGTATTAACTTGAATTGATAGATGGGCCATTTGACAGCAATATTCAGCCACCGAAATCCTTATAATACAGCACTTGCCAATATGTAACTATGTGGTGATTTGTTTCCTCTGTAATGTCCCCCTTTAGCGTACAATGGTGAATCTTTCCCCTCAAAACTGTGTGCATGTACCCTAGGATACTATGCATAACAACAGGGTACATTCAAGATCATCTGAAACACAATTTAGTCAAGAGATCAATTTTTAGGAGAATAATAAGTCTGTATGGCTGTAGACTAAATGTCTAAAGGAAATAAAAGACCAATGGCATCACTTAAAGCAACC